AGGTAGGGAGGGCTGCGGGACGTGGCTGGGCTGGATTTTCTCCCCCTGCCCCACCAGATTTCAGCACACAAAGCATTGTCTTTTATTTTCTCAAAGCATGTCCTGGGAACTTCTGAGGTTTTCTTCAACGTTATTTTAGTCTGGGATAAAACACTCTCAGTTCAGAGGAGGCAGACGCTCCATCACGCCTCCTCCTTCCCCAGCAACGCGGGTTCAGTTAATTCTACCAAAGCAAAAGGATGGGTTGGTTTGGGTTGAGGTTGTTTTTTTTCTTTCTCAGAAATTTTACAGCCAGCCGTAACTGGGAATTTCCCTTTTCCAACTGGAAAAGTCCCTCTTCCTCCTGCTGGAGGCCAGGAGATCTTTGGCCTGGAGAAATGTCCCCAGGCAGGCATCTCCTGCCAGGGTCAGGCAGCAAGGAAAACCTCTGTTGCCTACCTGCTGAAGTACCACTCATGGAGTAACTAGAGCAGGGTTCCCAATGCCCACCATCAGGGACAGAGCAGGGTTCCTGATGCCCACCCTGCCCAGTTGGGTGTCCCCAGGGTGGGGTTCTACCCTCCTCTTGGCCACCAAAGCTCTCCCTGACTCTTTCCTAGGGCGACAAGGGCAGCATGGGCGACCTGGGCCAGCAAGGGGATGATGGCTTCAAGGTGCGTGAAGGGTTTTGCTCTCTTCCTCCTTCCTCTTGGTCCCTCGTCACTCTGTGTGACACCCTGACCCATCTTCTAGGGCAAGCCAGGACCGCACGGCATCCCCGGGAGGCCAGGACCCAAGGGACAGCAGGTAAGGGCAGGGTGGAAGGAGGAACTGAGATGAGTATTTGGGGTGAATTCCTCATTTTTTCCGTGCTAAAACTCACCTGGGGAAGGGGCTTGGTTATAGAAGAACATATGGCTGGGGGATGCCCCCTGTAGTGCCCTGACCTCCTCCCGTGTCTTTGCAGGGTGATGCTGGCCCCCCCGGCCCACGGGGACACCCTGGCATCCCTGGGGCACCGGTGAGTCCTTTGCCTCCCCGGCAGGTTTGGGGTTCACCCTTGGTCCTGCAGGAGTTATCCTGCTGGGATGGGGCTTTGATCCTGCCTTCCTCCCTCCCTCTGAGCTGCACCTTGTCCTTCTCTTCCAGGGCTTGTCTGGACCCAAAGTAAGTCATGGGGAGCACTGGGAGCCCAGCTCAGCCCCACCATGGGGCACATCCCCTCCTTCTCCTTCCCAGGGTGCAGGGTGGCCCCATGGGCCCCGCTCGGCACGGCAGCATCTCACCACCTTGATTTTCTTCCCTCCTTCTCCTCCTCCTCATCCTCATCCTTTGGCAGGGGTTGAAAGGCTTCCCAGGGCTGCCAGGACCCAGGGGCACACCAGGACCACCGGTAAGCAGGGCCACTAATGTCCCTCACGCCAAAATTTGGGTCCATGGCTCCCTCAAATTTGGCAGTGAGGTCCCACCATGCCACGCCATGGGGCTAGCCGGCTGCTGGCACCCTTGGAGGGGCTGCAAGCATGTCAGGGGGCTTGTGGGCAGCAGCCAGCATCACTGGCATTGTCATTGTCACCCAGGGTCTCGCTGGCCCCCCTGGTCCCCGTGGACCCACGCTGATGCTGTCCCGGGAGGAGCTGCGGGTGAGTGCATTGGAAAGGGGATGCTGTGAGGGGTTTCCATCCCCCTTTTAGTGGGTGCCACCTTGGAGGGAAGGGCTGACAGCGATGCTGTCCCATGTCCTGTTGCTCCTGAGGGTCCTTTGTGCACGAGGTCCTTGCACAAAGAGCCAGAAGATATGGCTAATCCATCTCCCACCACGCTTGTCCTTGTCCCCTGCCTGTCCCATCCCCTTCCTGAGCACCCTGGCCAAAATAAGAGGTGGCAGGGGGGGCTTAATATCAGCTTGGTCACACACCCCCCTTATTTTTATTTTTCTTTGTCTTTAAGCACCTAATTTATCCCTCCAACCACCTGAATTACACGGCGGTCTGGGCTCTGCTGGACACCCTGAGCCAGGAACTGCAAGCCCTCATCCAGCATCCAAATGGCACCAAAACCAACCCGGCGACCACCTGCAAGGAGCTGCTGTTGGCTCATCCCAGCCTCCCTGATGGTACTGGGGTGCTCTTGAGGTCCCCCCGTGTTGGACCCGTAGCCGGACAGCCCTCCCAGCGCCGGGACGGCGCTGGGAGGGCTGTCCGGCTACGGGTCCAACATGGGGGGACGGGGAGCTCTTTGTAATTAAGAAGGGATGAGGATTTGGGGGATGAGCTCAGCTGGGTAGCCCTGGAGGATGGAGGTGGCAGGCTGGGATGTGCCACCATCCTCTTTTTCCCCCACCCCATGCCAAAAAAAAAAGCTCTGCCCTCTGCCTCCCTCCCTCCAGGGCAATACTACATCGACCCCAACCAGGGCAGCCCCCAAGATGCACTGGTGGCCTTCTGCAACTTCACGGCAGGGGGGGAGACCTGCATAGCCCCCGTCCACAACCAGGTAGGCTTTGGTGGGGTGGCTTCAACCCCACGTTCCCCCTTGGGGTGGTGGGGATGGGGTTGGTGTGGTTGGAGAAGGGACAGCGTGGCCGGTCCCTTGCTGTGGGTGATCTTGGCCATCACTGTTGGAGCAGTTTGGGGGGAAGACAAGGGGTTCACAGGAGCCCTGTTGCCTTCCCCAAGCCCAACATCATCCCTCAATCCCAGACTCCAGGTTGTCCAGCCTGGAGAAGAGAAGGCTCCAGGGAGACCTTAGAGCCCTTTCCACTCCCTCAAGAGGCTCCAAGAAAGCTGGGGAGGGACTCTTGGTCAGGGAGTGGAGCCACAGGATGAGGAGGAAGGGCTTTAAACTGAAAGAGGGGAGATTGAGATGAGATGTGGGGAAGAACTTTGGTGTGAGGGTGGTGAGAGCCTGGCCCAGGCTGGCCAAAGAAGCTGTGGCTGCCCCATCCCTGGAGGGGTTCAAGGCCAGGTTGGAGGGGGCTTGGAGCAACCTGGTGTGGTGGGAGGTGTCCCTGCCCAGGGCATGAGGTGGCACTGGATGGGCTTTGAGGTCCCTTCCCACCCAAACCATTCTATGATCCTGGTCAAGGTGTGTGACCAGGCTGCAGGGACAGGTCACACCACACATGGTGTAGCTGACTCCTTGTTCAGGCAGTGCCACTGTCCCTCCTCTGGGACACTGTGACATGGTCACCACTCCCCACAGGTCCCCATCAAGGCTTGGCTGAGCACCTACACCTCCGAGGACACCTTTGAGTGGTTCAGCACCCTGCCTGGGGGCTTCCTGGTGAGTGCCCAGCCAGGACAGCTGAGGGGACACAAAATACATCTCATGGAGTTGGGGGTCTCCTAGTGCCTGGTCCACCGTGGGCACAATGCCTGGGCATAGAGTCCTGATGGCTGTGTGTGATGGGACACGACACCTCCAAGAAAACCCAAACCAGTGCTTTAGCAGGGGGCTGAATCCTGCCCAATTTTCAACTGGAGAGAGCACGGCCCCCTCCAAGCAGCCCTGGCTACCTAGTTTTCCCCTTTCCTTGCCCCCGCAGCTGGAGTGGTTTTCAACCGGAGAGAGCACAGCCCCCTCCAAGCAGCCCTGGCTACCTAGTTTTCCCCTTTCCTTGCCCCCACAGCTGGAGTACACAGGGGCCAGCTCCGTGCAGCTCCGTTTCCTCCGCCTGCACAGCCACTTGGCCACCCAGAAGGTCTCCTACTCCTGCAGACCAGTCCCTGAGCAGGGCCAGCCCCAGCCCGAGAAGGAAATCCGCTTCCTGGCCGATTCCCGGGAGCAGAGCTATGCAGCCAGCCTGCAAGGCTGCGTGGTAAGCCTGGCCCTGGTCTGGACCCTTCTCTCTGCCTGGATGAGACCCCCCCCTGACATTTGCAGAGCCCCTCGACGTGTGTTTGCAACCCCAGGGTTTGGGATAGACCTGGGGGATGAGGCTTCAGGTGGTGGGACGGGGATGGGGAGGGAGAGCATCCTTTCCCCAGGCCTGGGAAGCTGCCCTGGTCTTGGGGAGCAGACTGGGATGTGGCAAGGGATGGGGTGGGCTCCTGGAGACATGGAGGGAGGCCACCTTCCTGGAGAAGCCATGTAGGGCTGGAGACCTGGGTGCATTGAGGAGACACCAGAGCAGCAGAGGGGATGGTGGACGCTCTGAGATGGTCCTTCAGGCCCCATGGCCGAGGGTTTCGGTGTCGTTCAGCTGCTCCCGGTGCTCGTTTCAGCTGGACAACGAGTCCTCCATCACCGACACCATCTTCCAGTTCGCCACTGAGGAGCTCTCCCTGCTGCCCCTGAGGGACCTGGCCGTCTTTCACAACGGCGACGCCTCCCACCAGTTTGGTTTCACAGTCGGACCAGTTTGCTTCAGCTGAAACCCATGACACCCAGACTGAGCCAACTGGTTCCCTCCTCACCTGAGACCTGTCCTGCTGGGGACGTGCTGGGAGGCTGGGGGGTGGCACCGGGCTCCCACCCACTCCCTGGAGCTCCTGGTCCTCTCTGAGACACGTGTTTGTAGCTGCAATTATGCCACGGACTACACTTCCTTCTGGAGTAGAAGAATATTGTTTACAAAAGTCATTTCTCTATAAATTATATATATTATATATGTATATATGTGAGAAGGTGCTGATTTAATGACCGGCTGGGGGAGGCTGGTGTAATTACAACCCTGGGGAACTGTCGGCTGAAGAGAAAAAAAAAACAAACAAGCAAAAATACTGCTGGCTTGGGAGAAGGGGAAAGAAAGGGGCTTTTCTTTGCCAATTGCACAAACCCTTGGAGACTCTTCCCGTGGGACCAGGCTGAGGAGCAGCTCTGGAGAGCCCTGGTAGCCCCGTGGTAAGTCCAGGTGGTGCTGCCAGCTCTTTGCAGGGCAAAGCCACTGCAGGTGAAACCATGGCAGGAAAAAACAACATAGAGCTCCTCCTCCCAGGGAGGTGAAAGGGGAAGAGGGGACGTCTCTACGGGGCCAACTCTGGGGTTTTGGCTGCATCCTTGATGATGGAACCATGGAATGCTTAGAGTTGGAAGGGACCTTAAAGATCATTGAATTCCAACCCCCTGCCCTGGGCAGGGACACCTCCCACCACACCAGGTTGCTCCAAGCCCCCTCCAACCTGGCCTTGAACCCCTCCAGGGATGGGGCAGCCACAGCTTCTCTGGGCAAACTCCCAGCATCTTCACAAGGCAGAATGTCTTCCTAATACCTGATTTAAATCTCCCCTCTTTGAGTGTCAAACCCTTCCCCCTCCTCCTGTTGCTCCCCTCCCTCATCCTGGGTCCCTCCCCATCTCTCCTGGAGCCCTTTTAGGGACTGGAAGGGGCTGTAGGGTGTCCCCGGGGATGGTACCTCCCCCCAAACCGTTAGGTCTGACCGGGGGGGGGGCGGTTCCGGGGGAAAGGACACACACATACATACACTCACACACACAGACACACACACACACACACAGACCCACACACACACCCTGCGGGTCCCCTCCGCACTACAGCTCCCGGGGAGCCCCGCGCCCGCGTCACCGCCGCGACGGGGCGGGAGGAGGCGGGACGGGACGGGACGGGGCCGGGCGACACCGGGCCGGGCAAAGCCGCAAGGCAACGGGGACGGGCTGCACCGGGCCGGGCTCCGCACCGCCGCCATGC